AAAAAAAAAAAAAAAAATAGCGGGGGTGGTGGTGCACACCTGTAGTTCCAGCTACTCAGGAAACTGAGGCAGAAGGATCACCTGAGTCCAGCTGGCGGAGACTGCGGTGAGCTGTGATCGTGCCACTGTACTCCAGCCTGGGTGACAGAGTGAGAATCTGACTAAAATTTTTTTTTTTAATTAGCTATTGAATGTGGTTTACTTTCCAACTTGGCTCTGGCATTACATCACATCACAGATAAAGAAGGAAAACCACAGTGTTTCATGACCCTGTAAAGCAATCTTCTGCTCACCTGTTAAGACAATGCCCTGCTGTCCCAGAATCCCCAAAGCTCCATCCAGCTCCCTCATCATCCTTCCTTAGCTGCCCACTTCCTTTGCTGCTTTCAAAATCCCTCCGATAACTCTAGCTGGCCAACCGTCCCTCAGAAGCCCTCTGGACCCACCTACAGTCCGTGGCCCCTTAGAGATGCCCCTCACCCCCTCCTGGATGGAGCCAGTGCAAACCTCACATGTACTGATTTATGATGTCTTATAACCTCTGTCCTCCTAAATTGTGTGTATCCGAGCTACAACCGAGTTAAACCACATGGGTCACACATTCTTGGGACCTCCTGGGATGGGTGTCACGAGCCTGGGACACTCACGTTTGGCTTAGAATAAGCATCTTAAATATTTTATGGTGTTTGGCATCTTTCGTCAACAGAGCTATTCTGACCCTTTGTTCAAGACTGTTGAGTGGGGGAGAGAGGCTGAGCTCACCTCCGAATGCAGCAAGGACAGCTGGGTGTTTTGGTTTGTTTTTTATTTTTGTTCGGACTCAATTTTTATTCAGTTTTACAGATACCATTAAGGCCAATATTGTACAGACAAGGAAACCGGAGATGGCTGGGGTTTGATAGCTAACAAGCAGTGGGAGGGGGCCCGTGGGTGGGGATTATTGGCGCAGACGCCATGGTGGAGGAGGTCTCACTAAGCCCGACTTACCAGGATTCTTGCTAAAGACAGGCCAAGCACGTAGATCTCGAGGGTGGGAGGATGAGGAATTTGTCAGACATCAAGGGTGAGGTCTTCTCCCTAAACTCACTTAGTGGGATCTTTGCTAAAACTGGACTTGGCAGGCCAAAGGCGGGACAGGGGCCGAGGCCAAGGCCAAGGCCAAACTGAGAAGGCTTAGAGGGGACCTGAATAGCAACTGGTCAATAAAGGGCCAGGGTCAGTCCCTCCCCAATGGCTCTGGCCCCCCAGGCTTTCCCGCTGGGCCCCTTCGCCCCTAGTGCGGCAACAACCTCCCCTACTGCTCCTCTCAGAGTCTCACTCATCCTTGTTGGCTCTTCCAACTCAGCTCTCGAAACAGTCCCTCAGAATTCTACCCACCGTGCCTGTGGACAGCATCCCGACTTCAGCCCTGGGACACGTCGCCTTGGAATCCTGCCATGTTCCCCCCTGCCATTCTCCAGAAAGGCTTCTAGAATTGTCTGCTTTCCACCACCTGTTCCGATGGGAAGATCAAGCTAAACCTGTTACTGTCCCAGGAACGCTCGAGTGCTCTCCCCGTGCAGCAGTGAGTCAAAGGGGAGGGGACTGGTAGAAAGGGGCTTAATTCTGAATTCGAATCAAGGGAGCAGAGCTGGGCTTCTGGCCTTTTAAAGGCGGTTCTGCTCGGGCTCCAGCCTTTACAGTTTACTTTTATAAGTTTAGAGTTGTTGATGCCTATACATGGACCACGTGACCCTCAGGGCATTGTATAGCTTCGAAGTCACAGTCGCATTTTGCCAATAATGACATCTGTGGTCTGCATTTCCTGGCACTGGTTACACGGAGCAGAGGTGTTCATCAAATCTGCCATAGAGCAAAGGGAGTGAGACATCAAACGTCACTACATATTGTTACACGCAAAAGTTATGCAAATCGCAAGACTTACGCTGACCTTGATACTATGTTATTCAAACCTGTGTCTACTCGGAAAAGAGAGTAAGTGGGATTTATATCTCTCAATTAACTGGGCGCAGCCTGCGGGGAAGTTAACTGTTCTTTGAAGTTACTTACTGGATGCATAGGAGATAAGAGGAAGTGCTCCTTTTGTTAACTCTTAGGACGTGAGGTATGCGGGTCTCCTAGATTCCTCGCCGTGCCCTTCTCTAGGGGCTGTGGCAATATGGACAGACAATAGCGGGTATCCATATCAAACCCATGGCATTCCACAGCAGAAAGCACACAGGGATCTACAATCAGGAGGCCTGGGCTTGAGACCTGCACTTCGATTACCATGTAGGTGTCAGTGCACAAATGGCCAAGTTTCAGTCTCCTCACCAAGAAAATGGGCACAGTGATATTGGCCCTGCCAATCAGCCTGCAGCAGACACTGTGTCTAGTACTGTGATGTCACTGAAGAGATACTGATTGGATGAAAGAATGAATGGATGCTTGAATAAAATGAGCCAATGCATGAAAGATCCCTTTAACCGATCACATTTTTTTGTTTGTTTTTTGAGTTGGAGTCTCACTCAGTCGCCCAGACTGGAGTGCAGTGGCCGCTCCCGGCCACCACAGCCTCGCCTGCTGGGCTCCGGCAATCCTTCTGCCTCAGCCTTCCGAGTAGCCAGAATTACAGGCATGCGCTACCACACCCGGCTGATTTTTTGATTTACTGTAGAGATGAGGTCTTGCTGCCCAGGCAGGTCTCGAACCCGCGGGCTCAGGCCATCCACTCACCTAAGCCTCCCAAAGGTACGGGATTACAGGCTGAGCCACCGAGCCCGGCTCTAACCGATCACATTTTATTATTTTTATTTTTATTTTTTTGAGTTGGAGTCTCACTCTTTGTTGCTCAGGCTGGAATGCAGAAGCCTCTCCCGGCCACCACAGCCTCGACCTGCTGGGCTTAGGCGATCTTTCCACTTCAGCCTTCCAAATAGCTGGAACTACAGATGCACACCACCATGCCCGGTGAGTTTTCTGTGATTGATTGTAGAGACAAGGTCTCACCAAGTTGCCCAGGCTGGTCTCGAACCCCCGGGGCTCAGGCAGTCTTCTCTCCTTGGCCTTCCAAAGTGTTGGGATTACAGGCTGAGTCACCGCGCCCAGCCCACATTTTATTTTTTAAGCACTTATCTTTTCTTATTTTAATTCTTTTTAGAGACAGGGTCTCGCTCTGTGGCCTAGGCTAGAGTGCAATGGTGCTATCATAGCTCACTGCAACCTCGACCTCCTGAGTTCGAGAGATCCTCCTGCCTCAGTCTCCTGAGTAGCTGGGACTACAGGGGCGTGCCACTATGCCTGGCTAATTTTTTTTTATGTTTGTAGTGAGGGAGTCTCATTAGGTTGCTCAGGCTGGTTTTGAACTCCTGATGCCTCAAGGGATCCGCCTGCCTCAGCCTTTCAAAGTGCTGGGATTACAGGCATGAGCCACTGCATCCAGCTTAAGATGCTTCTTAAACAACTTCCACTTAACTGACGGTCTAGATGAACAGACTTGTGTGCAACACGCTGACAGCTGCGAACAGCACACCGACCCCTCTTCCTATGTGGGCTCTGTGCATTCTAGAGCTGGCTGTGTCTGTTCCCAAATCTGTTCATGACAGCTGTGTGGATTGTTGGCAGTGACTGATTTAATTAGATGTTACATAAGTTGCGGGAATGTGACGGTGAAAAGAAGGAATACTGTCTCTATGAGAACTTAGATGAGGCCGGGTGCAGTGGCTCACACCGGTCATCCCAGTGCTTTGGGAGGTGGAGGTGAGAGGATTGCCTGAGTTCAAGGGATCAAGACCAACCTGGGCAACTTAGCGAGACCTCGTCGCTGCAACAAATCAAAAACTTAGCTGGGCGCACACCTGTAGTTCCAGCTACTTGAAAGGCTGAGGCAGAAAGATTACCTGAGCCCAGCAGGTTGAGGCTGCAGTGGCCGTGAGTATGCCACTGCACTCCAGCCTGGGTGACAGAGTGAGACTCTGACTCAAGAAAAAAAAAATGCAGATGAAACGTTGGGTGATTGCAGAAGTGAGTGACTAAGACAATTGATACTGAATTTATTTTGGAAGCTTGGGAAGGCTAGGTGTTGGGAGATTGTGAGACCCGGAATGATTTGCCCATAGATTGTTTTGAAAGTGTCTTTAGGGCTGGGCTCGGTGGCTCAGCCTGTAATCCCAGCACTTTGGAAGGCCGAGGTGAATGAATTGCCTGAGCCCGCAGATTTGAGACCTGCCTGGGCAGCGAGACCTCATCTCTACAATAAATCAAAAAATTAGCTGGGCGTGGTAGTGCGCGCCTGTTGTTGCAGCTATTTGGAAGGCTGAGGCGGAAGGATCACCGGAGCCCAGCAGGTTGAGGCTGAGGTGGCCGGGAGCAGCCACTGCACTCCAGTCTGGGCGACAGAGTGAGACTCCAACTCAAAAAAAAAGAAAGAATAGGACATGCTACAATAGGTGATTGTAGCAGAAGGGTCACGGATGGGGTCACTGTGAGAAGAAAGAACCAGGCCCACCTCAGTCAGCCACTGTCCAAGAAGGGAAGTGCTCACGTTTGTCAGGGCAATGAAACACACGGGATGGGGGGAACTTGAGGGTCTCCCTGCGTTCACCGGCTTCTTAGACTCACAATGAGTAGACTGGCCAAAGTCCTGATTGTAGGGGATGAGAAGGCTCCTGTGTCTTTCTGAAGTTCTGTCTTCTCTTTTTGCCTGTTCTTTCTTCTTTTTTTCCTTTCTTTTTCTTCTTTTTTGTCGCCCAGACCGGAGTGCAGTGGCCGCTCCCGGCCCCTGCAGCCTCGACCTGCTGGGCTCCGGCGATCCTTCCGCCTCAGCCTTCCCAGTAGCTGGAATGACAGGCGCGCGCTGCCATGCCCGGCTATTTGCCCATTCTTTCAATTTTGCCTTTTCTCTTTGATTTGGCATTTTTCTTCTTTTTTTCCCCTACCCACTGTATGCCCAAATGTAGAAGTAGAATTATGTTTTTTGGTTTTGTATTTTTTAAGAGACGGGGTCTGGCTGTGTCATCCAGAGTGCAGTGGCACAATCGTCACTTACCCACCACAGCCTGGGACTCCTGGGCTCAAGCGATCCTCCCGCCTCAACTCCCCGTGTAGCTGGAAGGACAAGCACACACCATCATCCATCATGCCTGGCTAATTATCTTTTCATTATAGAGATGAGATCTTGCTATGTTGCTCAGGCTGGTTTCAAACTCCTAGCCTCAGGCAGTTCTCCTGCCTTGGCCTCCCAAAGTGTCAGATTATAGGCATGAGTCGCTATACCCTGCTGGCACTAGAGAATTTTAGGTTATTTTATTTATTGAGTTAAGTGGGGGAATTCTTGTTTTTTAGCTTAGTATTTCCTTACGTACTGCTTGCCACTGTTAGGGACTTAAAGCCAAGGGATGCTTACTTAAACAAAAACTGCGGATAATTGTGATCTCTTACCTGCACGTGGTCCATGCTAATTCTTCCATCTCTGAGGTCTCCCAGGACAAGGTTTTCTCTTCTCCAGCACGTATTGTTTCAGAAAAAAAAATCAGGTTGGGCACGGTGGTTCAAGCTTGTAATCTCAGCACTTTGGGAGGCCAAAGTGAGAGGATTGCCTGAGACCAGGAGTTCAAGACCAGCCTGGGCAACTTGGCGAGATCTTGTCTCCACAATTAAAAAAAAATTAGATCTGAACCTGAAATTATAGTGTAAATGTTCTAGGGAAAACTTAATGTTTAAAGGACTTCTGAGCCGGGTGTGGTGGCTCACACCTGTCATCCCAACACTTTGAGAGGTGGAGGCGAGAGGATTGCTTGAGCCCAGGGGTTTCAGATCAGCCTGAGCAATATGGTGAGACCTTGTTTTTATAATAAACCAAAAAATTAACCGGGCGCGATGGCCATGCCTGTAGTCCCAGCTACTTGGAAGGCTGAGGCAGAAGGATCTCCTGAGCCCAGCAGGTCAAGGCTGTGGTGGCCGGAGCATGCCACTGCACTCAAGCCTGGGGACAGAGTGAGACTCTGACTCAAAAATAAAAAAAAAGGACTTATGTGGTACATTTGTTTGTTTTTGATGAAGCCGAGGACCCAGATTTTCCTGCATTATGTTTGCTTAAAATCAGGTAGATACAGAAACCAATTTCTGTCTGTGAGGAACTAACAGCCTGGTAAGGAGAAATAGGACAGATTGTTTTTATAAAGCAAGCGTAAAATTTCAACTGATGGCAGGCATGACGGCTCACACCTGTGATCTCAGCACTTTGGGAGACTAAGGCAGGAGGATTGCTTGAGCCCAGGAGTTTGAGACCAGCCTGAGTGACATAGTGAGACCTTGTCTCTAAGAAAAAAAAAAATCCTGAAAATTAGCCTGGCGTGGTGGTGCATGTCTGTAGGCATGATCATACCCCTGCACTCCGGCCTGGGAGACAGAGTGAGAGCCTGATTTTAGTTTTTATTTATTTATTTATTTATTTTTTGAGTTGGACTCTCACTCTGTCGCCCAGACTGGAGTGCAGTGGCCACTCCGGCCACTGCAGCCTCGACCTGC